TTTCATTTTTATAGTTTGTTTGAATCCAAATCCAAATAAGGAACACATATTGCAATGGTTATACCCTCTGAATCCATTTTTTTGGTAAGTTCTCCCTCTTTTTTTCCCCCTTTCAGTTTATTTGTTGACTAACCTGTGTGTTTCTTAATATAAGAATTTCTTCTGTTGTGAAAATAATCACTTCCTACTCTGTTTTTTAAATTTTGGATTGCTTTAGTGTTATTTACAATAGCCAAGATTTGCTAGCAGCCCAAGTGCCCATCAGTAGATGAGTGGATAAAACAAGCTGTGGTACATTTACACAATGGAATACTACTTAGCTGTAAAAAAGAAGGAAATCTTACTCTTGGCAACAGCATGAATGGGACTCTAGAGAGTATTATGCTAAGTGAAATAAGCCAGTCAGAGAAAGATAATTTCCGTATGATTTTCACTTATATGTGGAATCTAATAAACAAAAGATACAAAATAGAAACAGACTCAGATGCAGAAAACAGACTAACAACTGTCAGAGGGAAGAGAGTTGGGGGTCTAGTAAAGAGTTGAAGAAATTAAGTGAAAAGAAAACCCCTCATAGACAACAGTATGTTGATTACCAGATAAAAAGAGGGGTGGGGGAAGTAGGAGAGGATAAAGGGGGGATAAATGGTGATGGAAAGAGACTTGACTTGGGGTGGTAAACACGTAATACATTATACAGACGATGTATTATAGAATTGTACCCCTGAAATCTATATAATTTTATTAACCAGTGTCACCCTAAAAAATTCAATAATTATAAAAAATAAAAGTGTGATTAATTTGGAAAAATTTGGATTGTTTTATAATTATTCTTTTTTTTTAAAAAATATATTTTATTGATTTTTTACAGAGAGGAAGGGAAAGAGATAGAGAGCCAGAAACATTGATGAGAGAGAAACATCGACCAGCCGCCTCCTGCACACCTCCCACTGGGGATGTGCCCGCAACCAAGGCACATGCCCCTGACCGGAATCGAACCTGGGACCTTTCAGTCCACAGGCCGACGCTCCATCCACTGAGCCAAACCGGTCAGGCTATAATTATTCTTTTAATATTTTAGTTGTATTCCAATAATTTCTTGATAAAGTCATAATATGGTAACATAGGATTATTTCACAGTACCCATGGTATAGTTTTGCTTTAGGCAATTTGCCTCAAGGGGGTTATCCCTATGGTTTAGATTACTGTTTGGATACCAGGACAGGTGTGCATCACTTACAGTTGTGTGGAGATCATCTGTTCTGTCAGTGAAGCTATTCAATCTTTCTTCGCTTTTCAATATTTTATCAATATTTTGGGTCATAATAATTTTTACATCAGTTATTTGACTCCTCAGTGTGGATATCGAGCTGTCACTTTGATTTTTATTGTATTTCATCTATATAGAAGTGAAATATAATGCAAATTTTATTTTCTATAAATAAAATCTAATATGGTATAATATATTGTACATATTAGAATATAAGTGTCAAAGGCATATCTCAGTATGGTGGTTACCAGAGGGAAGGGGGGGCGGATTTAAAGGGTAAAGGGAGTCAAATATATGGTGACAGAAGATTTGACTTTGGGTGGTGGGCACACAATGCAATATACAGATGATATATCATAGAATTGTATACTGGAAACCTATATATCTTATTAACCAATGTAACCCCAGTAAGTTTAATTAAAAATAAATAAAATATCTGGGGGAAAAAAGGCAATATCTCACTTGTATTTCAGCATAAGGAATCAACTAAGCCTCAAACTGTCCCACCTAATCTTGCAAAAAAAAAAGGGGGTGGGTGGGTGGGTGGGTGAGAGAGGAATATATAAATGTATTGAATCAGCAGTGGAATTGTTTTTTTAAACTTAAATTGTTTGTTTATCTAGACTTCTGTTTTTTTAAAATATATTTTTATTGATTTCAGAGAGGGAGAGAGAGAGAAACACCAGTGATGAGAGAGAATCATTGATCGGCTGCCCCCTGCACACCCCCTACTGAAGATTGAGCCCATAAACCGGGCATGTGCCCCGACCAGGAATCGAACCTCAACCTCCTGGTTCATAGGTCGACACTCAACCACTGAGCCATGCTGGCCGGGCTAGACTTCTGTTTTTTTAAAGAGCACTGTTAGGTTCTTAGTAAAACTGAGCAGAAAGTACAGAGTTCCCATATGCCTGATAAGCCTGACACACACAGCCTCACTATCAACATCCCGCACTAGAGTGGTACATTTGTTATAATTGATGACCTTACATTGACACATCATTATTACCCAAACTCCATAGTTTACATGAGGGTTCACTGTTGTACACTCAATAGGTTTGGACAAATGTAAAAAGACACATATTCACCATTACAGTATCCTGCAGAATAATTTTATTGTCCTTAAAATCCTCTGTGCTGCACTTATTCATGCTTCCCTTCTCCCTAAGCTCTGGCTACAACTGGTCTTTTTACTGTCTCTGTAGTTTTACCTTTTTGGAATGTCATATAGTTGGAATCACACAGTATGTAGCGTTTTCAGATTGACTTCTTTTACTTAATAATATGAATTTAAGGTTCCTCCATGTTTTCTCATTGCTTGATAGCTCATTTCCTTTAATGCTGAATAACAGTCCATTGTTTGGATGTACCACAGTTTATTTATCCATTCACCTGTGAAAAGATATCTTGGTTGCTTCCATGTTTTGCCAATTATGAATAAAGATGCTATAACATCCATATGCAAATTTTTGTGTGAACAAAAGTTATCAACTCCTTTGGGTAAATACCAAGGAGTATGATTGCTGGATTGTATGATGAGAGTATGTTTAGTTTTGTAAAGAACTGCCAAACTGTCTTCCAAAGTGGCTGTACCATTTTACATTCCTACCAGCAATGAATAAGAGTTATTATTGCTCCACATCCTTGTCAGCCTTTGGTGTATTTTGAATTCTGGTCGTTCTAAAAGGTGTGTAGTGATATTTCAGTGTTGCTTAAATTTGCAATTCCCTAGTGACATATGATGTAGAGCATCTTTTCATATGCTTATTTGCCATCTCTATATCTTCTTTTATGAGACAGCTATTCAGGTCTTTGACCCAATTTTTAGTTAGGCTGTTTATTTTCATATTGTTGAGTTTTAAAAGTTCTTTCTATATTGTGAATGACAGCCTTTTATCAGATTTGTTTTTTGCAAATATTTTTTTCCTAGTATGTGGCTTGTCTTCTCATTCTCTTGATTTTTTTAATCCAATGTGACAATCTCTCTCTTTTTTTTAAATCCCCAACCGAGGATATGTTGAGAGAGAAACATCAATCGATTGCCTCCTGCACACACCCCGATCAGGGATTGAACCTGCAACTTAGGTATGTGCTCAGACTGAGAATCGAACCCACAACCTTTTGGTGTACGGGACAACACTCCAACCGAGCCACATGGCCAGGGCAATCTGTCATTTCATTGGTGTATTTAGACCACTAACTTTTAAAGTGATTAATGATATAGTTGGATTAATATCTACCATATTTGTTACTGTTTTCTATTGTTTTAGTTCTTTGTTCCTATTTTTGTCTTCCACTCTATCCATATTAACAAAAATAATCTCTAAGATATAGTGTTATATTAAAAAAGTGAGCTGCACCTGCAAAACAATATTAAGTAATAACTCACTGAACATTTAATATGTGCCAGGCACTGTTTTAAGCACTTCATATGTATTAGCTTATTTAATTCTCAAACCACCATATAAAGTAATACTCTAATCATGTTTTTTTAAATTGATTTCAGAGAGGAAGGAAGAGAGAGAGAGAGAGAGAGAGAGAGAGAGAGAGAGAGAGAGAGAGAGAGAAACATCAATGATGAGACAGAATCATCAATCAGGCATGTTCCCTGACTAGGAATTGAACCATGATCTCCTAGTTCATAGGGCAAAGCTCAACCACTGAGCCACGCTGGCCAGGCTGATCATCTTTTATTTTCTAAATAAGAAAACTGAGATTGAGAGTGTTTAATAAGTTGTTCAATATTATACAGCTAAAGGCAAAATAAGGATTCAGACTCAAGATAACATATTCATAGTCCATTCAATGACATTTGGTATATATGTCATTGTGCCCTCTCGCAGTCTGGGACCCCTTGGGGGATGTCCACCTGCTGGCTTAGGCCTGCTCCCTGGGGGATTGGGCCTAAGCTGGCAGTCAGACATCCCTCTGGCAGCCTGGGAGCCCTCGGGGGATGTCCACTTGCCAGAAGGGAGCAGGACTAAGCTGCAGTCGGACATCCTTAGTGCTGCTGAGGAGGTGGGAGAGGCTCCCGCCACCACTGCTGTGCTGGCAGCCGTCAGCCTGGCTTGTGGCTGAGCAGAGCTCCCCCTGTGGGAGTGCACTGAACACCAGGGGGCAGCTCCTGCATTGAGCATCTGCCTCCTGGTGGTCAGTGTGTGTCATAGTGACCAGTCATTCCCAGTCTTTCTGCTGTTAGGGTCAATTTGCATATTACCCTTTTATTATATAGGATATACCAAAACTCTTTTTTTCACTGTGTGCATTTTGTTAATTATAGTATAAGAAATTCAACAGCCCTAGCCGGCTTGGCTCAGTGGATAGAGCATCGGCCTGCAGACTGAAGGGTTTCAAGTTTGATCCCGGTCAAGGACATATGCCTGGGTTGCGGGCTCAATCCCCAGTGTGGGGTATGCAGGAGGCAGCCAATCAATGATTCTCTCTCATCATTGATGTTTCTATCTCTCTCTCCCTTCCTCTCTGAAATCAATAAAAATATAAAAAAAAGAAATTCAACAACTTTTACAATTTTCTACAGACTTAAAGCTTACCAGGTTAGCTTATAAATGTTAAACAGAAAATTCTTTGATGTCAGATGTATTTGCTTAAAATGTGCATATTTTCACATAGTAACTAGTTTTCAGGGAGCTATGTTAATGTATTTTGGCTGTCTTGAATATGCAGAATTCTTCATAAGATGCATTTAATATAAAAGCTTTTAGTTATTTTGTCAGACATTGTGGTCGACACACCCTATGGTGATCCCCAGTGAGTTATATCCTTGTAAAACCCCTTCACCTTGATTGTGATTTGCTTCTAACTAACAGATGCAAAGGTGACAGAATGTTAGTACCATGATTATGTTACACTAGAGGGCCGGTGCACAAAATCGTGCAGGGGGTGGGTCCCCTCAGCCCAGCCTGAACCCTCTCCAATCCAGGACATCCCTCTCACATCCTGGACTGCTGGCTCCTAATCACTCTCCTGCCTGCCTGCCTGGTCATGCCTAACTGCCCCCCCTTGTCGGCCTGATCACCCCTCACTGCCTCTGTTGCTGGCCTGATAGCCCCTAACTGCCCCCTGCTGCCAGCCAGGTTGCCCCCAACTGCCCCCCTCTGCTGGCCTGGTCACCCCCAACTGCCCCCCTCCGCCGGCCTGGTTGCCCCACACAGCCTGCTGTTCAGTCATTTGGTCATCCCTCACTAACCCTGCTGCAGTCCTGGTTGCCCCACACAGACTGCTTGTTCAGTTGTTTGGTCGTCCCTCACTAACCCCCCTGCCACAGGCAGCCATCTTGTGAGGGCATGATGGTTAATTTGCATATTACCTCTTTATTATATAGGATTATATAATATTTAGCAGATTGGAGTGAGAGGGATTCCTTTGTTGGCCTTGAAGAAGTGAGCAGCCATGTTGAGGACATTCCATACACAGTTGGGTTCTTTTTGAATTTGAGTTTTAGGGATTACTTTTCTAAATAAACATTTTTATAATGATAAAATATATATAACATAAAATTTGCAATTTTGACAATTTTTAACTCTTATAGTTCAGTATTATTAAGTATATCTACACTGTTTTGCAACTATCACCACCACGTATCTCCAGAAATTTTTCAACTTCTCAAATTGGAAGTCTGTATGCATTAAATAATAACTCTTCTTCCTCCCCTCCTTCCAGGCTCTGGCAACCACCATTCTGCTTGATGTCTGCATAAATCTTACTATTCTAGGTACCTCATATAAGTGGAATCACATAATATTTGTCCTCTTGTGACTGCCTTATTTCACTTAGTTGGAACTATTAGTTAAATATTTAACTTAATAGTATTTTAAAATTAGGTAAAATATATACATGGTTCCAAAGTCAAATTTGTAAAACAAGTTTTATTCAGAGAGGTCCAGTTTTTGTTCCTGTCCCCATCTTTACCACAGGCAACCATTGGAATGTTTTTGATTTATCCTTTCCTTGCACACCTCCAGCACTTGTTTTTTTTTCTTTTATACTATAAGCAAACAAATAAATATATTTGTATTTATTCCCTCTTCCTTAAATGGTTGCATATGTAAATAAGTAACAGTATACCATACAGACTTTATCTTATTTTTTTCATTTATCAATACATTATGGATATCATTACTTATCATTATATAGAGATAGAAGTTCTCAGTCGAATTCATCTTTACAGCTCTTAACTCATAATTCCTAACTGATTTGAAAGCTGCAATACTAACAATGTTTAGGAATACAGTTAGAGGTTACATACCATATACTTTCCTAATACTTGCTGAAAATCGGCAGCAATGGCATTTGAAGGAGAAAAATGTTCTTGTGACATCAAAGGATTTTTCAGAAAAATATCACTAACCTGGGGAAATGAATGGAAATATTTAAACTATATAGGTAATTTCAACTGGATAATTGCAGAGTTAATGTTTATATGAAGCCAAGTCTGGCAGAAACCTGAAATAAAGAAACTAGGACATTTCAAGATTTGGTGGCAGGGTGTCTTTTCTATTTAAAGATACAGTATTCATGAAAACTGCTTGCCCAGGCTTCTCCACTGCTTAGTATAGATTACACTCATACTGAGAGATCCTTGATTTTTTG